GGCAGCTTTGAGGATTCGTGATTGAAGATATTCGCACATTTGATTGATATGCCAGGAGGAAAAGGTTGAAGGTAGGACGTCACATAAAGCATCAGCTTTGTCAGCGAATTCCGTCTATTGAAGAACAGTAACAGAATCAAATTTGAAGACGCGACGGGTTTGGCGCTTAAGTTGTCGAGCACGAGCCAATTTGGTAGAGGCAGAAAGTAAAGACATATCATAGTATGTGATGACAGGGTTATGATCAGATGTGCAAATGTCTTAGCATTAAAAATACAAGCAGTAAGAGCAAATCCTTTGAGAAGAGGGCAGGACCATACGTAATCAACACGAGTAATGTGGTCATTGCGATGAAAGATACCTAAAGAGTCAGAAAGATTAATAGGTGTAAAGTCTTCATAACCGTGAGAAAGGAGATGAAAAAGTAATCGGTGTATATGTTTAGAAGCAATTTGGGGTTGATGAAAATAAATAGGATAATATTTATCTAAATGCATATTAAAATCGCCACAAACAGCATGATAAAAACCAGCTTGTTTAGTAAGGGTGAGTTGTTGAATAAGCAAATCAATAGTATCAGAGCGCAATACACTTTCAGCAGGAGGAGGGATATAAATAACAAAAATACGCAATTTAACATTGCCTTTGAAATATAAATCAACAGAAAGCAATCGTGAAGAATGAGATTTAAAATCTTATACATGTGAAGCAAGAGAATTCTCTATAAAAAGGGAAACACCACCAGAAGAAAGAATTTGTTTAGAAGTATCCAAATTCGAAGAAAACACAGTATAATTAGAAAGATGCTTGGATAAAAACTTCATTTGTTTAGGGTGGAGATGAGTATCAACGATACCACCAAAAGAAATATGTTTTAAGGAAAAGAAAGAGGAAATTTCTTCTAATTTGGTCTGACCATGCATTTTGAATATTAAATGAGTTGGGGATAGGAGAAGTGTTACTAGAAGAAGAAAATAAGGATTCATGTGAAAAAATTTCAGTAACATTATCGGGGTTGGGAGGGTTTCGTACAAAGGTGGCATAATTAAAATTATTGTCCGACATTAAAGCACAATGATAAAAACAGTCGGGAAGATAAAATTTGAAGAAGAAAGTTAAACAGAAGAAGCTGAATCAGCTTGTTCCAGGGGAGCACCACCAATGGAGCTAATGAATTGTTTGATATGACCAGTGAGTTGGTCCAATTTACTTTCAATAACGACTCTACTATTTTTGAGATCGTTAATTTCTTCTTGCGTGGAGGAGATAGGGGTAAAAGAAGGAGCATTTGGGGAAAAGTGAGAAGGAGGAAGTGACGTATTAGGAACAGGAATAGTAGGAGGCGGAGGTCACGTTAAAATACTTCTGGGGGGTAAGGGAGATTTAGCGAAAGGCTGAATATTAAGCGAAACATAGGATACAGGGGCATCTTCTTGCATGAGATCCAAGTCAGGCTCATTAGGTGTAGGAAGCGGATCAAGGCCAAGGTGTGATTCGATGCGGGTCATCCGTTGGTCAGCAAGTTCAAGAGCGGAAATGCGTTTGTGGAAATTAGCAACTTCACATTGCAGTTCGCGCAAGAGGTTTAAAATATTATTAGCATCATCAGGAGATAATGCAGAATTGGGAGTTTGTCAGGACAAAGGACGTGCTGTAGAACGGGAGGAAGAAGAAAAGGAGACCGATCGTTCTTTGCTATTACGCCGGGCACGTTGGAAAGCGTTGGAATTTGGTATGTTATGATTTTTGTCGTGATGAGTGCGGTCATGGGAAATATTATTATCACGTCCAGAATTGGAAGCAGATCGATCTTTAGATTTGGAGCGAGATCGGGAGCGAGAACGTGCATTGGCAGTATTAGAATTGGAGCGGCGAGGTTGATTGACATTAAATCGTTCTTTGAGTTTTGCAACAGGGTCGCGAGTGCGACTTCTACCTCTGGTTTGTATGAGTGGGCAAAAATTAAGAGCGCAACCTAATTTGCCACATCTGTGACAAAGTTTATTAGTATTATCAGGGGAGGACCAGAAAAGTACCTTGCCTTGGAAGCTGAAAGTTTGTTACATAGCAGCATCCATGGTCTCTTAAGAATTGAAAGTGACATAAGCCCATCTTTTGGGTTTGTAAGAATTTAGAGAAAGTGGCACATTAACAGCTTTGGCGCCAAGGTTACGAGTAAGAGGAGCCAAGTTGATATCCTTAACATTAGGGGGAAGCTGAGTGAGAGTGGCGACGTATTAACGGTACGCAGCCTTTTGATCTACAGTATAAAAACATGGAGTAATTCTGAAGCAGGTGGAGAAACAGTACACAGCCCATTGATCGGTAAAACGAGCAATTGAATCGGCGTGATCATACACAATACGGGCTTGCTGGACTTTGGCATTAGGCCTGGAGAAGAGGCGGCAAGAGGTGATATTACCAAATTTTTTAAAATAAGCCATGAGGTTGTCTTTTTTAATGAAGAAAGGGATATCGGTAACTTGGATAGCCCGGAGATCTTCATTGGATCGGAGTTGGCGAGGGTCATGTGCATGAAAGATTAAATCAGGGAACTCAGAATGAGTGGAACCAACGCACAAATCGCGTGCTTCAGCGGTATGGAAGTGGATAACGAGGCGTTTGGCTTCACCAGAGCCAGTCATACACGCTTTTCCAGTAAACGACTCGTAAGTTTCCAAAAAAAGGTTATTAACAGCCTCAATAAGGGCTTTATTGGTAGGGAATTTCTTAAGAGATTCAGGGGCAGCATTCGGCGTAGCTGCAGCCTGAAAATCGTCTCTGGTCATGGCAAGGGTCACCACTGGATCTGGAGTTTGATTGTCATTAGGGGCACCATAAGTATTCAAATTGGGCGACACGTTAGGGGGTTGCTGCAAGTCTTTGTTTGAAGGTGCATGCATGGACGCGTCCACATTTCCAGAAGACGCGACGTGACTGGGCGCAGTTGGCACAGCAGATTTTTTCGGGGAGGAGGTCGAAGTATTTTCACCAGAGATATTTTGTTGAGGAGAAGAGAAAAATCCATCTACTCCAACGTCAGCCGTCTGGTCATCGGCAACGTAATCTTCTTCCATAGAATTTTCGGTAATCGTACGATTACGTTTCTGCTGGACAGTGTTTTCACCGTCGGAGCTTGAGTTATCAGAGTTATTATTATTTTTTTGTTCTTGACGGGAAGCTTTCCTACTGTTAGGGTTATGACTTCCATGGCCTCTCTTGGCATAGTTACCAGACATAGTAGAGGGCTTTGAGTTGGGAATATATAAAATATAAAATTTTATTAGTAGCTTGTATTATTTTTTTAAAAATAATAAAAAATATTTTTCGTCAGAATTTTCATTTTTACTGGTCAAAAACCAATATATCGGGTAGCAGATATGTATCAGATATATACCCGATATGTGTAGTATTAATGCAGAAAATCGGGTACCCGATATGTGTAAGATATATGTAAATATATATATCATATACATATCGGGTACAGATATGTATATGATATGTAAATGATATGTAGACGATATATATATTTACACATATCTTACACATATCAGGTACCCGATTTTCTGCATAAATACTACACATATAAGGTACATATCTGATACATATCTGCTACCCGATATATTGGTTTTTGACTAGTGATCGATAGTACCCTACGTATGCACTGTCGAGTGATCATTTAACTCCGTAGGTAGACTTTGTTTAGTAACGGATCATCTTAGCTATAAAGGCCCTATCTTCAATGTCTGGTGATCACGGGACCCAAAATGCAGATGCATTTAAATTTTAATTCTTTGAAATTAAACTAACTTTAAAATGTATCATCAACCAATCTATACCCTAAACTAGTGTTAAGCAATTGAATTGGATATTTGTTCAAAACCCTGTCTAAAACTTATCTAAAACTAAAAACCTTTTTCCATTAGACAGATTTTGAATAGATCACATGATAGAAAAATTAATTCAGGCCAGAATTATAATTAATTTTGGCTAATATTTTAATTTCAAAAATTATTTTAATTTTAAAGCAACTTAACTTTATTAGGTTATTTTATTTATATTTAATTATTAGTTAAAAGAATTATTATATTAATTAAATTCAAAAAATACAGATATAAATTCTGGCTTTTATAATTATCTGGTAAATATTAGCTGAAAGGTATAATTCAATATTATAACTAAGGGCAATGACAGATATTACCTAATATTAGTTTATTATAAGAGCTTACCTCCCCTCCCCCAGATAAAATATATTATATATGTAATTTCCTTATATAGTATATATGTAACCTAAGATTTTCAATTACCCCCCCTTCCCTTAGAATATTAGGTAATATCTGTCACTGCCCTAACAATCATCTCTTGGAAATCTTCTATTACTATTATTTATTATTACTTCTAAAATTATCATTATTATTCATTCCAAAAGAATTTATTGAAAAAGTTTTAAAATATTGTAAGAAAAATAAGAAATCAGTTGTATTAGAAATATCAGAAAAGTGGGCATTTATGCTAAGAATGGCTGTTTCTAAATGAACTATATCCTCTGAGTAAAAACTTCACTCGACAGTACATATGTGAGGTGTTTTATGTATGACAAGTGATTTGGTAATTAATAGTATTAGATAGTTAGATTAAGCTTTATTTACTTTATGTATTACCCAAATCTTTTGCTGTTTAATAAACTATTAAATACATTGCAGAAAAAAAAAAAAAAAAGAAATATCAGAAAAGTTAAAGTTTAAAGAAAAAGAGTATATTAAAAATATACAAAAATGGAAAAGTGAGTATAATGAAAGAATGTTATATTTAGAGAAAAGTGTAAAGAAAAATATTTTGAAAAAATTGAAAAAAGAAATTTTAAAGAAAAGTTATTTTTTATGAAGAAAAAAAATATCCAAAAGTTTTATGAATTAAAAGAAGAAAAGAAAGACAAAATTTATATAGGAAAAAATAAAGATTGAAATAATGTTGTGATAGAAGAAAAGTTAGTAAAAAATATGGATAATGAAGAGATTGTAAAAAAATATTTGAAGAATATTAAAAATAAGAAATTAGTTGAAATAATATTAGAATATAGAGATATATTTGAAAACAGTATGGCTGAAACAAGAGAATTTGGTAAAAATGGAAATGGTTATGATGATAATAGTTTTAAGTATGAAATAAAAAAGATTAAAAAGGATGTGAAAATAAGTTTTTAAAGATGCAAAAAACTAAATTTCTGCAGAATATTGAAGATGAAATAAGAAAACAAAATGAAAAATTATTAGAAAATAAAAAAATTAGATTATTTAAAGAAGAAGTTTCATATGTAAATTATATAGTAGTATCAAAGAAGAGAGGACAGTTACAAATATGTCATAATTTTCTAAGAGTTAATGATAATACAGTATTGTATAATTACATATTACCAATTATGAAAGAAATATTAGAAAAGATTATTTGATAGAAATATGTGATTGCATTAAATTTGGTTAATGGATATTTTTATATGAAAATGAAAAATGAATTATCAGAAAAATTATATGCATTTATTACTAAAGAAAAAGCATTTACACCAATGTTTGGAATTAAAAATGCATCAAAAGTATTTAATAATATCATATATAGAATTTTACCTGATTGGTAACTGATTGGTAATTGATTAATGCCTGATTTTTCATTTTTTAACATGTATTGCTTTTGATCTAGCAAGTTTAACTTCAAATTTAACCAATAAAAAAAGTGCATGTTATAGGATTATTAATCCACTAAAAGGTTCAACTATTAGACACTATTATTCTTATTAAAAATCATGAAATTTAAGTATTTCAAATTTACTGATATTACATATGGCAAATTATTAATTATTGATGATTGTGAAGATTGTTTTGAGATTGATGTATGAAAACTTAAAATAGATGAACTATTATCTGTAAATACAATCAAACAATTAATTAATAAACATTTTTTTTAAGTATCTTAAAAAAAATAAATGCTTACTATTAATACGTACTGTATATGTTTAGCTGATAGCAATCCTTCTTCAATATCTCATTTATCAAGTATTTATGAAGTATAATTAGAAAATTGCCAGTATGTTTGTTTAAAAAAAAAAATCTAATACAAAGAAATTAATGATAATAAATTTTTAATTAGGTTTAACATTTTTATTATCATTATATTTGAAGATAGAAGATATTTATTTTTTGCAGCACCTTTTATTAAGCAAAATCATTTTTTTACAATATTATAAGAGAGTAATACATGCTAATTTTACTTCTGCTTCATTACATAAATTTATTGTAAAAATTTTTACAGTAATATATGCGGAAAACCATAAAATATTAAATAATTCACTTGGAATTAGAACAGATAAAATACTTTTAGAACAAATATGGCAAAAAGAATTTAAAGTAAAGAATTTATAAATAGGCAATAGTGATCTTAGAAAAAGGTTTGGATATGGATAAATATAAAAAAAAATTTGAACTATAAATAAAATAGCAATTATTGATATTTGAAATAAATCAAAGAAAGTTTGAAAACTTGAGAAGGGATTTGTACATATATTATACTTTAACAATTATAATACATTTAAAATAAAATGCCTTAGCAAAGAAACAGTCTAAATTAAGTTTAATAATATTATATTAGAATAATATGTTGTTTAAAAATGCGAAGGTATATCTAGTAAATAGTCATTGTTTGTAATTTATATTGTATTCATTTGGAATATATATATATTGTTTTTTATATATTAAATTTGAGCTACTTAATAAAATTTAAAAAAATTATTTTTTAATAATATATTAAACTTATACTATTCATTTAGTTTTATATTACAATTAAACTGAACCTTTATATAATGATATATTAGGACATATATGAAATTTTTGGAAAATATCATTATATTAAAGATATATCAATATTTATACAGTATATTCTTATATATAGTGAGAAAATAAAATTTTATTAGTATATCAAATTTTTAATAATATATTAATATATCAAATATTGGTATATTGAAGTTAGACTATAATTATATATTTTTAATTATATACTAAATTTGTATTAATCAATTAGTTTTATACTCATAATATATTAAATTTGTACTAGTTACTTAGTTTTATACTAGTTTTATATTTATTTTCGTATTACCATATATAGGGGTCGTCTAAAACCGTATTCGATCATGTGACTTGACATTTTATAAATAAGCCATTTTTTTATGAACTAAGATTAATGTAAGTATGAAAGTTATACTAGAATAAGTGTATTTTGACCTGCTTTATAAGTTTACTTAGTGAAAAAAAGCTGGTTTTAAACACTGTTTTTGACTTTACATATGAATGAATAATCTTTGCCGATCATATCCAAAAATGGATGACAAAAATGAAAAAATTCAAATAAGTCAAAAATGGTGTTCAAAACCCTATATTGTGCACTAAGTAAACTTGCACAGCAGGCTAAAATACATATATTATATGTAATTTGAAAGTTTTATGTATTGGTGAAAAAGTTTTATTTGTAAAAAATAAATTTTTACAAGTCACGTGATTGAACACGGCTTTAGACAACCTCATATATAGCAGGCTACAGTACCCCAAGTATTTTGCAAAAATTGGAGTTTGACCAGGATCCCGGATATCTAATATAAAGGTCATAATGGACTTTTGACCAAAAACACCCCGTTTTGCTGAAACTCAAAAAAACATTTTTTGTAAATATCTCAACATTCAGTGATTCAATTTTAATGAACATTTTTTTATTTTGTAGCCCTCATTTAACTCTACAATTTTAAAAAAAGATCATCAAAATTGGACTACTGGATGCTGAGATATTTACAAAAAATGATTTTTTGAACCCCTGAAAAATGGGCCAATCTGCCGAAAGTGTGACTTGATCCCGATCTGCCAACTCTTTCTTGTAGATTTTTGGTCAAAAATTTCGCGGAAGAAATTTTTACTCTTCGTATTAACACATCTCTTATTTTACTATTAATATGCCTCCCAAAGGTAACAAAAAAGCTGGCAATAATCCTAACGGGAGACTTGCCAAGCGACAAGACAAACGAAACAAAAATAAAGACTCTGGCTCTGACGTTTCAAACTCTGACAACAAACAAACAAACAATAAAAACAACCCTTCCAAACGTACTCGTACGCTCCCAGAAAACCCTATGGAAGAAGACTACGTCGCTGACTCAGCGGCTGATGCTGGAGGCAGCAATACTACTCCTCCTCAACAAAATAATACTGACAATTTTTCGTCTCCTCCTCCCAAAGATACTACTGCGCTTTCTGCGTCTGGTTCTGTCGCGTCTGGTACTGACGCGTCCATGCATGCTCTAAAAGACAAAGAAAATTCCCCTTAGACGCGTCTCCTAATAAAGATATTATGGATACTAATGATACTTCTCCTCTTCCCCTTGACACGCCCACTATTTCCATTCTTAGGCGTGATTATTAGGCTGCTGCGGCGCCTAATACTTCTCCTGAATTTGTCAAAAAATATCCTACCAATCGGGCTATGATTGACGCTGTCAATAATCTCCTTTTAGAAACTTATCATTCTTACACTAGCCGTGCTCGCATGTCTGGTTCTGGTGACCTCAAAAGATTAGTCATTCATTTTAATTCAACCACTGAACGTGATGCCTGCCTTTCTTTCCGACATGATGACCTTGCCGATCTCCGATTTTTCCTACATGACCCCAGCAACTCCGAACTGATGAAGATCTCTGGGCTATCCAAGTTACTGATATCCCATTTTTCATCAAAAAAGATGATATTACCGCTCTTTTCAAAAAGTATGGTAACATACAATCCTGTCATCTACATACACGTGCAAATGCTAAAGTTCAACAAGCTCGTATCATTTATGATGATGTTTCTTTCATCCAGCATTTTGTTGATAAGCAGTGGGTGATTTATTGCTACTCCACTTGTTTACGCATTACGCCATGTTCCCTCACCCTTGATCAAAAGAAATCACGACGTGAATTTGTTGCTGTTTTATCTCAGCTCCCTATTAACACAAAAGATGTGCATTTAGCACCCTTAGTACAAGCAATTGGCGCTATGGCCGTTAATATCCCCCTGTCTCTTAATTCTTACAAACCTAAACGATGGGCTTACATCACTTTTAAATCACAACAAATGATGGACACTGCAATGGAACAATCAATCGCCCTGCAAGGTCACAGACTCCAATGGGAACTACCGGAGAATACAAACAAGCTTTGCCATAGATGCGGCAAACTTGGCTGCGCTCCTGCCGCATGCCCATTGAACAACTCTTGAGGTCGTTCACACACCCGTAATCCTGTTGCACACTTAAAAGAATGCTTCAATATTGGACAATCGAATAACCATAACTCTTCTGCTAATTGCAGTAGATATCGTTCCCGTTCTCAATCCAAAGATCATTCTAATTCTTGATAACGTAATCATTCTGCCAGTAATACTGGACGGAACAATAATANGTTGCACACTTAAAAGAATGCTTCAATATTGGACAATCGAATAACCATAACTCTTCTGCTAATTGCAGTAGATATCGTTCCCGTTCTCAATCCAACAATTCTTCTAATTCCAATAATTCTACTCAAACTGCTCAACGATCTCGATCTAATGAGCGTAAAGGCAAAGACCGTTCAGTTTCCTTTTCCACTTCCCAACGTACTAATAGTACCTCTGCTCACAACTCATTTAGTCACAAACCTCCCTTGGTGGATCCTAATTATTCCCAAATTCAAGAGATCCTTTCGGTGCTTAAAAACCTTCAAGAAGATATGGCTAATGTACGTGCTAGAATTCATGCTTTTGAATTAGCTGATCAGAGGATGTCTCGGCTAGAACTTTATATTTTTGGACATATGCAAAACGATGTTCTCCCACCTGACCCTAATGATTGTTCACATATGCTTGTTAACAACCACCAAAGCACCCCCCTTATATAACACAATCTAACCCGCCCACTTCGAACAGGTCCTTTTCCAGTCCGGTTCTCCCTCCCCCAATGGTCCCTGTTTCCCGTTCCATCATTTCCTCCTCTCCCATCCCTGAAACTGCTGATGAAGCTACTATTAACAAAGAACGTGCTGAAATTTATTCCTTTCAACGATCTTTAGATAACAAATTCGATCACTTATCTGGCTCTATTGAAAGATTTATTAGCTCCATTTCTGGTGGCCCTTCCTCAGACTTAGTCAATAAGACTTCGTCTGATTAATTTGTTATCCTCCCCTTTTACCCTTCAAGAAAATAAAGTTCTGCAACAATCTTCAAAAATTAAATCTGCGAATTAATTTAAAATAATTAGTACAAATAATACTTCAATTTTATAATACTTCAATTTAACTAATATCAATTAATTTACTTAATTTATTTAATTTAGATATATTTACAAGTAATACTATTTATTAGTAAATGCGATAACTAATTTACTCTTTTCTCTATTTGTTGTTAATGGTTTGAACATTGTTCCAGTTGGTTCGATTCCAACAAACAACTATTTAAATTTGCATTTAAGAAGTGCCCAGGAACTTGTAGACCTACAAAAAGTAGAAAAGTAAAAACGTTCAGTTAGTTAGTAACGTTTCGTTAAGAAAAAAAACAAAATTTTAAAGAACTTCAAAGAATACCTTCAAAGTTCCCTTTAGATATCATCCAAGAAGTCGCAGACCTATAAAAAGAAAATACGTTAGTAAAGTTTCATTAAAAAAACAAAATAATTGAAGTTTCAAAACTTACTATTCCAAAGGTCCTAACCGATACCTCTGAGAAGTCGCAAACCTATAAAAAAAGTAAAGTTTCATTAAAAAAAAACAAAAAAATTAAAAAACTTCGAAGAATACCTTCGAAGTTCTCATCCAAGAAGTCTCCTCCTGCTCTTGCACCAGCACCAGCTCCAGCTCCTGCTGAAGAACCAACCCCCACTGAAGCCCAGGCTCCCACTGAAGACCAGCACTGAATGATGATAAAAATTGATTTCTGTAACCGGATCAAGCATAAGACGAGGCTGTACTCAGATCTACAAAGAAGTTCTTATCCAAAAAGTCATGGACCTAAAAAAAGGAAACGTTAATTAGTAACGTTTCGTTAAATAAAAAAAAAATAAATTAAAAGAACTTCGAAAAATACCTTCGAAGTTCTGTCCAAGGAGCTTTCTAGGAACCCGTAAATTTACAACAATAAAAGAACGAAAATGTTAGCAAACGTTTCGTTAAAAAAATTAAAAGAACTTCAAAGAATACCTTCGAAGTTCTTTCCAGGAACTTTTCTATAAAGCAGTGTTGGCCAATTTTATAAATCCAGTTATTTTAACTGGAAGCCGCAAAACTACAAAAAGAAAGTCGAAATGTTAGTAAACATTTCGTTGGAAAATAAAAAAAAAGAAAAAATTTTGAAGTTTTACTTCAAAATTGTTAAATGGCTTCCTGTACTTACAAAAGAAAATAAATGAAGATTTAGTTAAACGTTTCATTTTCATTTAAAGAAAATAATTTTGAAGGTTACCTTCAAAATTTTACTTTTGAAACTCCTTCAAGGAAAGCTGCGGACCTACAAAAAGAAAGAAACGAAAATGTTAACAAACATTTCGTTAAAAAAAAATAAAATAAAAATTTGAATTTTACTTTCGAATTGGGATTCCAGTTGAATTCCCGTACCTAAAAAAAAATAAATAAAATAAGAAACAACAAAAATAAAAAACAATAAAATTTCAGTTTTTTTTACCTTCGAAATGGGAATCCGAAAGATTAGGCGTCCACGATACGAATTGCGGATAAACGGATTGAAACACTAAGTCCAGGAACTGAAGAACCTAGAGAAAATGAACGAAATTAGCAGAAGGAAATAAGATAAAATGAAAAAAATAAATAAAAATAAAAAAATACAACCCACCCATCGTCTCCAAAGTCCAAAACTGAAGAACCTAAAGAAAATGAATGAGATTAGCAGGAGGAAATAAGATAAAATGAAAAAAATAAATAAATATAAAAAAATACAACCCACCTGTCGTCTCCAAAGTCCAAAACTGAAGAACTAAAGAAAAATAACGAAATTAACAGAAGGAAACAAAACAAAATGATAAAAAGGAAATAAAAATAAAATAAAACTCACCCTTCTTCTCCAAAGTCCAAAACTGAAGAACCTAAAGAAGAAGAAAAACAAAATTAGCGAAAAATAATAAGAACGAAACAATAACAAAAGAAAAGAATAAGAATTAAAAAAAAGTCCCCTACCAGTTATCTCCAAAGTTCGGAACTGAAGGACCTAAAGAAAAAAAGGATTATCTCCAGAGTCCAGAACTAAAAGCTGGATAATCTCAATCCATTAGTAACACAGATAATCTGGATAAAATCCTTCAATCCTTTTTATCCGATCCGTTTACAAAAATTTTATCTGGATAACCGTAAATACACCAGGACCTAAAAAAAGAAATGATGAACGTTAGTAACGTTCATTAAATAAAAAATTTAAAAATAAAAATTTGAAGGTTTTTTTACCTTCGAAATAAGAGTTCAGAGCCATTCTTCGGCGTCCAGGACCTAAAAATTTGAAAAAACAAACGTAAGTAACATTCGTTAAAGTTAAAATATAAAAAAAACGAACATTACTGCTGTTCATTAAATTAAAAATAAATTCGAAGGTTTTACCTTCGAAAATAAGTCCGGAGCCGTTCTTTGGCATCTAGGACCTAAAAAGTCAAAAAAATGAATGTTAATAACGTTTGTTAAACATAAATAAAAGTCCGGAGCCATTATTTGGCGTCCAGGACCTAAATAAAATATAAAAATGAACGTTTAGCGACGTTCGTTAAATATAAATATAAAAAAATCGAAGGTAATGTTTTACCTTCGAAATTAACGTCCAGAGCCATTCTAAGGCGTCCAGGACCTATAAAATATAAAAACGAACGTTTAGTAACATTCGTTGAAATAATAATTAAAAAAAAATTTGAAGGTAAAGGTTTTACCTTCGAAATTAACGTCCAGAGCCGGAACTTAGTTTCGGCTTCCTTTAACTAAAAAAAAAAGATGAAACGTTAGTTAACGTTCGTCAATATAAATTAATTTTAAAAAAAATTAATTTTTTTTTGAAGGTTTGTTTTACCTTCGATATAGGAGCCCGGAACTTAGTTTTGGCTTCCTTTAACTAAAAAAAAGACGAAACGTTAGTTAACGTTCATCAATAAATTTAATAAAAAAAAAATTAATTTTTATTTTTCAAAGGTTTGTTTTACCTTCGATATAGGAGCCCGGAACTCAGTTTCGGCTTCTTTTAACTGAAAAAAAAATGAAACGTTAGTTAATGTTCGTCAATAAATTTAAAATAAAAAAAAAATTTATTTTTTTTTTCGAAGGTTTGCTTCACCTTCGATATAGGAGCCCGGAACTCAGTTTTGGCTTCCTTTATCTAAAAAAAATAAGACGAAACGTTAGTTAACGTTCGTCAATAAATTTAATAAAAAAAAATATTTTTTTTTTTTTGAAGGTTTTACCTTCAAAGTAAAGTCCGGAGCTGTTTTTGGCGTCCAGGACTTCGAAAAAAAAATAAAATGAACAATAATACCGTTCGTTAAATAAAAATATAAAAATAAAAGTCTGTGAGCTGTTTTTCAGCGTCTAGGACTTAAGAAAAAAAATAAATATTCCTTCAAAATGGAGAGTCCAGAACATAATTTCTTGAAGTCTAACTTCAAAATGTCCAAAAGAAGGTACGAACTTCGTCAACTTCAAAGAAACTCAAAGCTTAAATAAAAACACTAAAAAATATTGACTAATTTTTTGGTATCTTTATAATAGTTAATTTTCTTTAAAAGATGGTGAAAAAAAAATATTTTCCAAAGTGTTGTAAGAAAAATTATTTTTTTTTTAAAGTGTTAAAATGTTGCAAAAAAAAAGCTTTGAAAAGTTTGTGTTAAAACAAATGCAAAGTTTATCAAAATAAAAACTGAAAGAAAGTTTGTGAAGTTTATCAAATAAAAAAAAGAAAATGTGAAAATCTATTCAAATTTTTGATAAAATCTGCAATTTTGGAGATTATCGCAGATATTTATACAAAAAATTGTCATAAAAAATCGGAAACTTGCAAAATTGCAGATTATTGCATAACTTTGTAAAAAATAAAAAGCAGAAATCTGCAAAATCGCAGACTTCCGCATAAATTCACAAAAAAAATGCGAAGATCTGCTAATTTTACAAATCTCCGCAGTTCTGCATCTTAAAAAATTTCCCGATGCTAATGACTTGGATAAGTTATGTCCAATTGATTTACTTGTCTTTGATGCTTGGCCTCTTAATCAGAAGTGTGAATATCTCCATTCCAGAATTATTAAAGTTGGAAAATCTAATTTACCCTCAGTTACTATAGGCAATACTTATACTCCAAAGAAGCCTAAGAATCTGGAAAGTTTATGCCAATCTTACCGATTTTTGTCTAAAGTGGTTAAGACTATCCGTTTGCTTCACAGAAACCCTATTTTATATTCTGTTAGTTTTGAGACCAAATGGTCTTCTTATTATATATGTCTTAATAATCTCCTTTTTGTTTATAAACAAATCTTTGTTACTTCTATTATTCTTCCTCCTTTTCTTCGTGATGAATGAATTGATGATTTTGCTAATTTACTTCAAATATTAGAGAACATGACTTTGCTTTTGCGAAGCCTACTTTTGCTTAAAGAAAAAGAATTCCAAGCTTCCTCTATTCAGGCAAAAATTGATGCTCGGAATGATAACTTTACCAATGATATCTCCACTTTTATTGAATCTGCCTTGTCACGAACCAGACGACGAATCATTCTTGATCGTGTTTTTATTGATCATCCAACACACTCTACCTTATTAACTTCTCCAGATGCCATTGATCAAGAAGTTATTGAACATTTTCAAAACTTTGTTCCAATTACTTCCACCCCTCCTTCTTCCATACAGGATTTGCCTGAACGATGGTCTAATGCTTATGCACCACTTGCTGATGTCTCTCCAGCTATTTTTGATTCACTTATAAATCCTCCTACTCTTGATGAATGGTTCTCAACAATTTCCTCCATGCCTAATGATAAAGCCCAGGACCTTCTATAATCTCGTATGAGATGTTAAAACACCTAGGTCCTTCTGCTTCTGCTCTGCTTTTCAACTTAATTTGCGCCTGTTTATCAGACGCAAATATCCCTGATTTATGGAGACAAGCTACTGTCTTTCCTATTCCCAAACCGCACGAATGGAAATGCCAACTTGAAAATACTCGTCTTATTACTTTATTAGAGGTGATTCGTAAGGCCTTGGTTAAGCTCTTTTACAATCGTCTCGCTCCTCTGCTTGCTTCTCACCATGTTCTTCAAGGAGGTAATTTCGCAGGTTTACCTGGAGGTTTCTGCCATGATCCTATTATTACTCTAGAATCTATTATCCATGACTCAGTAGTCACCAAACAACCCTTATGGATCCTCTCTCAAGACATTTCAAAAGCGTTTGATTCTATTGATTTATCCATGTTGCGTTTTGCTCTTCAACGCTTACGTCTGCCTCAAAATGCTATTCAATTCTTACTTTCTTTATTTATGTCACGTTCCAATCGTGTTATTACTGCACATGGCCCTACTCCACCATATAGAGTTAGAATTGGGATTGACCAAGGTGAAGTTATCTCCCCGCTCTTATGGGTTATTTATTTAGACCCTCTACTCACAGCTCTCAAAAATGAGATGAAAGACTCTTATTGTTTAGTTTCTCCAATGGCTTCTGATATTGTTTCATCAAACTCTTGTTCTCTGGATGTTTTAGAAATTAATAATTTGGTGTTTATGGATGATTCTACTTTGATTTCTTCTTCTAAAGAGAGAATGGAACATATGTTGTCTATCACTGAAGAATTTTATTGTTTGAACAATACTTCAGCCAACCATAATAAATATGTTTTAGCCACCAATGCAGTTACCGTATCTCGAGATTTATCTCCTGTGACCTTTAATTTGAGGACTTCATCACTCAACATTACGTCCAATATTACTGTTACTTTTATCCCTATGTCCTCATTTTTCTGTTTCTTGGGCGTTTGGTTTAATATTAACGGCTCTAGGAATTTTATCCGATAACAACTTAAACGAGAATGTAATTCTTTCTCTGCAACTCTCCGCCCTGCAAAATTGACTGTTCGACAAGTGGTATATCTCTATAATACTATTTTGATCTTGAAATTGGATTATCGAATGCAAGTCACGCATTTATCTGAGGTTGAATGTTCTACTATTACTTTTTCAGTTCGCGCCTTAGTTAAACACAAGGCCAAATTATCACATTCTGTTCCTAATGTGGTGTTATATTTAACACAAACCCTGGGTTTGATCAATTTATTTTCGTTTCAACAACAAAGTCATTTTACTAATTTATTTTTGTTAGCAAATACTTCTTCTGTTTTTATGAAATCACTTTTTAATTATAGGGTGCGATTTATTCAATTTTATTGTTTAATTCCTATTTCTCCTTTGATGGTTTTGGATTGGACTTGTTGGTCTTCTCTTATAATTTTTAAACAAGATTATATTGCTAATACTTTAGCTTCATTGCTCTCAACCCCCTTCTGTCTGTTACGCACTAATTTATCGCCTGTGCCTGATTTAACTTACCCTAATGGCCATACTCCCATTTATCAATGTCTTTCTTTGGATGTATTCAAGACCAATTTAACAAGACTTCGAAAACGTGGCCTTTTTTACCTTTCACAACTTTTAACACCTCAGGGAACACATTTACTCTCTTGGTCTGTCATATATGCTAACTCTATTCAAAAGCGTGGTAATGCCTGTCTTCCCAATTGGTACAAAAATCTTTCTGCTAACGTCACGATTCCAGATAAACCTGGTTTATTGAAAGATCGATTTATGACTGAACAACGACCTGTGAGCCAGATTGCAAAAGAACTTGCTCCTTGTACTCCTCCTTCTAGTTATAAGAAGAATTGGATTATCACGATGAATGATGATGGCCTCCCTATATTCGGTAAACAGATTCAAATCCAACCCAAGCATTCTACTTGTACTATTGTACACTGGATTTCAGACTACTTATCTCGTCTGAGCGATTTTATTACTCTACAACCTTGTCCTGGCTGCATTTTAAATTTAAACAAATCCTCTTACATAAAGAAATCGGTTGCTACTAGTTCTGTGTCTTGCTCCTATTCGGTCTCTCTTTGTCGGTCATGGATTTTGCCTATGAAGAAATCATCCATTATGAATCACACATCCAGCCTGACTGCTATGGTGTCATGGGCGGAAATCATGGACTTTGTTACTTCAATTTGTAATCCTTCAGTTCGCTCGGTGCTTGCTGCTGATATTCCCAATATTTCCTATGATACTGTTGACATGGCTTCGCCTACTCCACATTTACTTATGGCTGGCGATGTTGCTGCATCATCATCGGTCGTGCTTTCTCCAGACTCACATTATACCTTTTACACTGATGGTTCTCTTATTAATTTAGGAACTAGTGATGTTTCTATGGGATGGAGCTGGGTTCAAATTGTCAAAGATTCTGGCTTTCTTAATTCCATTGCCACTTACACTGGTCAAAATTAATACTATCGGGTACCTATCGGTAGTGCTCCGAAAAAAATCCGATCTGATCTGGATCCGCAGATTTGATCCGAGTCAGATCCAGTTCGGTTTTCAAAATTCTGATCCGTAGATCAGATCAGATTTAAAAAAAATCTGATCCGATTAATTTCGGATCGGATCAGATCATAACACAAGAAAATCTGATCCGATCTGAATAGATTCGGATCAGATTTTTTTTTAAATA